AGTTTAATAATGCCATGCGCTGGAACATTTGAGACAAAGGAAAGATACCAGCGACACCGCCACGATAATTATTCTAGCGACTTATTAGGAATGTAGCAGTAACCAAAATATCGTGATACTGTATCGTCAAAAGTCTCTCAATAATATCGTGGGCCAAGTTTCTTTGCTTAAATTCATTGTTATGATGCAGCAGTAGCTAAAACAACAGAGAGAACTACATCGACCATGATCCTTTGCTCCATTCAGTGCAAACAACATGAAGAAAGAGCAGTTCTAACCACTTTTAAATCTTAGCTCTTTGAATTTGAAAGAAGAAAAAGTAGTATATTCACAATTTTTTTTAGCCTCCATAAACTATCTCAATAAATATCGTACCGTGAGATGTACATTGTGAAAATATTGTACCGTGAGATTTGGATATCATTACTTTCCTACAACTTATCCTTCAATATATGACACATGGAATAACAATTTGTGGGAGTCAATATTAATCATGGTGACTTCTTCTGTACTTAAATTTGTACAATTTTTGTTATTTTTCTGTATTATGACACCATTTGAATTATGAACTTCTATGGCTCATTAAAGCTACAAACTTAAACTGTTGCGTTTGGTCATTTATTTATTTCAGTGCATATTTTTAAACAATAGGGGTGTAACGATATCCAAGTCTCACGATACGATATCATCACGGTATGAACCTCACGGTACGATATTTATTGCGATATTTTGTGGAGGTTAACTGAATTAAATATGCTACTTTTTCCTCTTAAAATGCCTTGACAAGACTTAATCCAAAGAACTAAGACTTAAAACTGTTTAGAACTGTTATTTCTTCACTGAAATGGAGCAAAGTATCATGGTCTATGTAGTTCCCTCTGTCTTTTTTTTACCTATTGCTGCACCATAACTCTTAATTTAAATAAAGAAACTTGTAATTTGATATTTTGTAATGGTCCATGATATTATTGTGAGAACTTTGACGATACGATATCATGATATTTTGGTTATTGTTACATCTCTAGGCAAGGCAAGGCAAGGCAAGTTTATTTGTATAGCACAATTCGTACACAAAGTAATTCAAAGTGCTTTACAGAATAAGAAATACATTAAAATCATAATAAAAACAAATCAAAACATAAATAATCATGAAGATTAAAATTAAAAAAGAGAGACATATCTCTATTAAACGATATTGTACATTGGAATACTTCTGCTTTATGCTTTATGGTTTGGTTGCAATATTATCGTCTAAATTTTCTTTGCACTTCAAAATTTGTTATCGTCAAACTGCCTGAGATATTTTTGCAATCCTTGAGAAAATTGGTCAAATGTGCATCGGTATGTCTTTGTTACAACAGAAGAATTTTTAATGTTGCTTTTACTCAGTATTTATTCAAACATACATCTTCCAAACTACAATAAATAGCCCAGTTTTGCTTGCGTCCGTTGTCCGAGCCCTGAACCGTTCCAATTAGTCCAGTGATGATTGCAATGTGGCCTGGCTTTAAGTAGAAAACTCTCAAAGTCCAGAAAACCATGAGCGGAAACAGTAATGCTCGTCATTAAGGCTTTAAGCTCATTGAGAACCCAGCACACGATAGCCACACCCGCCCTTCGCCACGGCAACAGCATCCTCTGGGGAGCCTGAGTCCTGATTGTGGCGAGCTGCCTCTTTAGTGAATCTGTATAACCGCTAATGAGTATTCTCCCTGCAAATGTTTCCTCTGCTGTGTCCAGAATATTTATCACACGTAATCTGGAAGTAAGGCACAAGTATTGACTGCTAAAGCTTTCGAATCATTTTCCCTTCAACAAAACAAGTCTATTACCGAAGACACGGACACAAAGAGGAAGGTAGGGCCCAGCGGAGGTTATTATAGCGATGATTAAAAGGACAAAGAGCGGAGTAAGTGAAGATGAGCGACCGCAGAACACAGTGAAGGTGCATTGTACTAAAGGTCAGGCTGTTTAGTAGGCTCTAATTGGATTTATGTCATTGTGCTCTGTTTTATAAGTGCGCGCATGTGTCTACGTCAGTGCGAAGGATCAGGGCATGCATACCACTGCCTTATATTTTCCTCAAAGATCCCGTAGATTAAAATAAAAGCATGCTTTCTGTTTTCATTTCGGTTGCATTTATTGCGAGACAAAACTGCGAGCCTCCTCCTGCTTTGCTTGTTTCCATGGAAATTAGAGATCGACCGATGTTTTGTTTTTGTTTTGTTTTCCGATGCCAATACTGATTGTTTAGAATACAGAGCAAGTGATGGCCGATAAGCTCTCCACAAAGCCTGTTCTTTCTTTTCTTTTCTTTTCTTTTTTTTACCACAAACCTATAAGAGAGCTGTATAGTCATGTTTTGTGCCGTTATCTCTTTGTATTAAAGTGTTAATATACAGATAAGTGTGTATTTCTTAGGCATGAAATTGATGAAAACAAAATATTGGCATTTAAGGTCGATAAAAAGTACAAATATTGACTAAAACCAGTCTATTTTTAATAAAAATGTCTCTTTTTCTTTGGCTATAATCTTACACAGGTTATAATCTTCTTTTGTTTTGTTTTTTTTACAACCTAAAGAGAGCTGTGTAGTCATGTTTTGTGCCGTTATCTTTTTGTATTAAAGTATTAATATACAGATTTGAGTGTATTTTTTAGGCAGAAGATTGACCTAAACAAAATATCTGCATGTGCTGAAGATTTAAGGCCAATAAAAAGTACAAATATCGACCAGTATCGGTCTATCTTTAATGGAAATGTCTCTTTTTCTTTGGCTATAATCTTCCACAGGCTATAATCTTCTTTTGTTTGTTTTTTTTTACACCCTATAAGAGAGCTATATAGTTATGCTTTGTGCCGTTATCTCTTTGTATTAAATTGTTAATATATAGATTTGTGTGTATTTTTTAGGCATGAAATTGACGAACACAAAATATTGGCATGTGCTGAAGATTTAACATCGATAAAAAGTACAAATATCAACCAAAACCAGTCTAACTTTAATAGAAATGTCTCTTTTTCTTTGGCTATAATCTTCCACAGGCTATAATCTTCTTTTGTTTTGTTTTTTTACAACAACCTATAAGAGAGCTGTATAGTCATGCTTTGTGCCATTATCTCTTCGTATTAAAGTGTTAATCTACAGATTTGTGTGTGTTTTTTAGGCAAAATATTGACCAAAACAAAATATTGGCATGTGCTGAAGATTTAAGGTCGATAAAAAGTACAAATATTGACCAAAACCAGTCTATCTTTAATGGAAATGTCTCTTTTTCTTTGACTATAATGGCATAAAAACATATTTATTTCAATGGGGAATGCTCCAAAGTATGGTTTTAACTGTCTGTTTCCATGGAAGCAGAAAATTACGTACTGTATCTACAAGCAAAAGGTTGTATTTCCTTGTTAGAAAACTGTAGTGGTGAGCAAAATTATAAAATGTACAAACAGTAACTGCTCAAAACTGCCAGTGTCAATGTCAACGAGAAATAAAGAAAGTAAAAAAGCAGATTATAATATTCTGAATTTGAGATATTAATTATTGAAAGTGTATCACTGTTGTAACCCGATGACATGTACAATAAAAGCAGTTTCCATAATCCGGTACGTTTAATATGAACCGACACAGAGTGGTTTTCATTCTTTTGGGACCGAGTTAAAATTGGCCCAAAATATTCAGTGACTGCAGCAGAAACCAGGTCAGCGAGAACATGAAAGAGAAGGGACAGAGAGGCCAGAGGAGACACAGAGCTCCACAGCCCCATGCAAAAAAGAGCAGCGCCCAAAACGAGACGAGACTGGAGACGAGACTGGAGACGAGACTGGAGACGAGGGACAGCCACATTAATTACACAGGGCTACAGGGGGAGAAGAGACGGAGGGGACAGACAGCCGAGGGAGGGACAGACAGTGTTGGGAAATAGGGCTACTGCATGTCTAATTGCAATTTTTCTGACAAGCATTGCGATTACGATTTTACAATTTAAGTGTCCTCGGAAGAATTGACAAAACGATAGAAAAGAAGACCAAACAAATAATACAAGAATCACATTTCAGAACATGTTTGTACAGATTTTATGCTGAATAAGTGGATATTTTGTTTTCTTAAGAGGAAATTATGGTCCTTCAACAATTGTAGCCTTTGTGATTTGCTGAAAATCAACAGCATCAGCAATAAGATTTTGATTTTGATTTGGGAGATTTAGCTACAGAAAACTGAATACTTGCATTAAAATGTATTTTGTGATGTACTTTGTCACATCGTCCAATCAGAGTACTGTATTCTGAATACTTAGAACACTTTTATGTTGAGTTGCTTTATGTTATAGTGTAAAATCATGACATAGGAGTAAAACTGTATACTAGATTTATGATTTACGTGATTCGTGCGTCTGTTATGCTTTCATTTATCACCGAGTAAAGAAGGAAAGATCACACACACTCACACACTCAGCACAAGAGCTATGTTATCTATATTTCACACTTGTTCTGTGCAGTTTGAAGCCTAAATTACACGAGGTTCTGAGATGTGTTCTTTTTAAATGTACTAAGCTACATTCTGAATACCACAGTTACACAATATTAGTGCAATGAATGTGCAAATTTACATTTATTTAGTTTCTTCTCAACACCTCAGATAGAAGAGGGACAGACAGGTGAGGGAGAAACAGGTGCAGGACAGACAGGTGTGGACAGACAGGTGCAGGGTGGACAGGTGTGAACAAACAGGTGTGGGCAGACAAGTAATGTTGTTGATTGTGTCCCTGTGTGTCCTATTGGAGAGATTGTTTGTCCTCACACAGACACCCACGGGTGCTGTCACTGTGTTACTAATGGGAGGTAGGCAACCAATGGTAGAAACAACCAGCGAGCCAAGGCCACTTATTTGTGAGTGGAGCGGAGAAACAGCAGAGGCTCGTGAGTTTAGGGGGAGGGGCTTTAAAAACAGATTTGTCTAAGTCTTGTGGGTGCAGATGAGTGTGTGGTGTGGGACTCACCCCGGGTAGTGTCTTCTGCTCGTGAAGAGCACTCTGAGCTTTGAGCGCAGACTCTCTCGCACAGTATGTGAGAAATGCACATCCTGGAACACGCAGGCACGAGGAGGGAAGAGTCATTAAATAAATATTTTACTGATGGATCACTTCATATTCATCTTCATCTTACAGCACACAAAAGAATTCAGTCAGTAAGGTCATAATATCTTAGATTTGTAAAACATTTCTACTGGTCACATGTTGAGTGCCCTGAGAGTATTTCATGCACAGTTACTTGTGTGGAAACAACAGGATCAGTCACTACAGAAGAGGAGCAGTCCACAGCACGGCACGGCACAGCACCACACACGTGTGCGCACGGCTAACAGGGCTAACAGGGCTATAACAGGGCCAACTGTGTACCTGTGCTAGCACCACTAAAGCATGCCTCACGATCACTCCAAACACAGCGCCTCAGTCCCTATGGGCTGTACCTGAGCCGCTGACAGAGGGGAGGGGTGGGGACTGCTGGGGCCAGATCAGGGGGGCCAGGCCTGTTTACTACACCTGTCACCAGCACTAAGACAAGATTAGCAGCAGGTTAGCGTCGCTGTTACATCTCAAAGAAGCTCAGAGTTTTAGTGAAGGAGAGAAGATTTGACAATTAGAGAAACATGTCCTCACAGTGGTTAGTGGAGCCGGAGTGAAACACAGTTCAGACACACACAGACACACGGATCTCCTGCTCATGTCCCTCTCACCACCTCAGAGGGACTTATGGGGCGCAGGGGTCGCTGCAAACAAACTACTCTTACCCCGTCCCCCGCGCTTATGGGGCCATTACACTGATTGGAGCACAGCCTAATCTGGTCCGTATCACAGCACCCGCAGTGAGCCCCCAGGTGGGACACGAAGAGATACGAGGAGTCCCATGGTTGTTACAAGACTATTGTTAGAATCTAAACGTTTAACATTTTGGCGAACACCTTTTGGGTCTATGTTATTTATTTATTTATTTATTTATGTCAGCATTTTATTCTCGTTCAGTCGTGCATTTTTGATTGGCAGAGGCAGGGCTGTTGTGGCCATTTTCTGATTGTGTGAAAAACAGATAGAAAAGCGCGCTGTGACAGTTTCCATGGTGACGCGTTATACTCATGTGCGTAAGCGTCAAAGTGGGCTCAGATGTCTAGACCTCGGTATTTTTCAAGTGTTAATTGTGAATGCAGGGACTAAATCAGGACTAAACCAAGACTAAATCAGGTCTAAAGCTGAACTAACAAACTATAAGACTATATCATTTCGAAAGGACTAAACATGAATCAGGATCTTGGACCAACTCAAAAACTCAAAGTCTAAAACACAATTAAGTAAGAGAACTAAACCAGGACTAAATGAGGTCAAACCAGATCTAAACTAGGACAACTGCAGGTCTAAAACAGTACTAAATCCGAATCAGGACCAACACAAACTAAGTCTAAACAATGACTAATTCATGACAGATCGGTTTACTAGAATCTTGCAAAAAAAACGGAGTATAATTGCACAGAACTGGACCTAAACTGGGTCTACACGAGGACTCCAGCCAACATAAACCAGGACTAAACCAGGTCTACTATTATATAAGCTCTGAAGAAGGACTAAACCAGATCTAAACTCAGTCTAAACCAGGACTGTAAGGGAAAAAAATACAAACTGAGAACTAAAACCAGAACAAATCAAGTGTAAAACAGGATTACCACTACCAAATCGTAAAAATATACTTTAATATTTCTTTAAAACCCCACTCCTCCTAACACAATGCCATGTTAAGTGCTGTTCTTACCTTTGTGCATGCCTGTGTACTTGTCCTTTATCACGGTTAGCTCATAGATTTTGCCAAACTGCTCAAAAATAGGCTTGAGGTCCTTCTCTTCCAGATTTCGGGGAATCTGCCCCACAAAAAGCTTGATGGCATCGGCCTCCTTCATCGGGACAGTGTGGAGAGACTGAACACAGCAGCACGGGGATCCCAGGAGACAGGCAACTGATGCTGTGAGGAGGAAGAGTAGAAAACACATCGTTAAACACAGATAATAACACAGTAAGAGTCTGTTATCCTTATATTATACCAACAGGCTATCAGATGAAATTAACAAAAGATTTAGTTTCCTTTAAATTACTTAGAAAAGAAAGGTTTTATCTGCATTTTGGGTAGTTCAGTTCTAGTTTAAAGTTCTGACTACAGTGCAAAATAACATCAGGAAATACGTTTTTGCTCATATTAACCTGAACATTTTACCAAACCTTAGTAAAATCTATGATATAAGTGTATTCAGCTGCAATTATAGGCTTATATGCATAACAAAATTCCAATAAAAACGCCACATATAACCTCAGATTTCTCAGGATATGATTTACTAAGAAATGAAAATTATTAATCCATATCTGGTGGAATAGTAAAGCTGAAATATCTGAAGATTTCGCTCAAATTCGTGTCTAATTTATCAGAAAAAAATCAAATTCTGATAAATAATTCAAAGTCTAACTTGTGCATCTCCTCTGGTCACAGAACGTTCCCAAATGTTACCAAAAATAGTGAGCATATGCTGTTTTAATTTCATCCTTTATAGCCCACAGTGACAAAGAGCTCCTCCAGATTCCAGTAAACAATTATGCAAATGTAGACGAGCCAATCAAAAAATAATAATGACCCATTTTCACTTAAGTAAAAATTCATTAAAATAAGCGTGGGAATGTATTGCGTGTAAATGAATACGTGGTAAGAGTAAAGTCGTGTGTAAATTGGGCAGAGGAGCCGAATCTTTGCAAGAGAGCAGTTCCTTTGTTTAGCCAGCTGTAGGTTACAACATACACGGATGTCATGGGGCTCCCTTACGCTCTTTGTCCGATCCCCCTCAATGTACACACTATAGGCACAACAACAACCAACCCAAAAAACAATGCACGACCACTACACGAGCCACGTTCAACATTTCAGACACTTACTGTTTTAGAAAATGATTGCAGATGCGTTGTGGCGTGGTATTTTTTTGGAGGGTGATGCTCGGCGCTGGGTCACCGCTTCTGTCCCGTCTCAGTCCCGTTCCTCCTGCCTCCTTCTCGGTAGATGCGCGGTTCTTTTGTGCACTCTCCCTCAGCCTCCTCCTATGCGAACAGGCTACTCGCACATCACTGTTTCCAGCGACCCAAAAATAAAAAAAAACACCACCAGTCCAAATTTCACAACTTGCCAACAGCGAAATTACAGCCACTCACGCTTTTCGGTAAAAACTTGTCCAGAAATTGTCCCTGTGACCCTAAAGTGCAAATCAAACTACAAGATCGCTGCTTTCTTTTTGCGTTTTTGCTTTTTTTTTTTTTTTTTTTTTTTTTTTTTTTTTCCTTTTTGGAGAAGCCTGGCGCCAAAGCTTTGCCAACCCAGACGAGGAAAGGTCCAAGCGCGTAATGTCGTGGCACGGGTGTTGGTAGTCCGCTTTGTCACCGCTACTGCCCAATTTGTGCCCGCTGTCTTGGAGTCCTCGGCGGCTGATGATGATCGGCTCCTCTTCTTGTTCTCCGCCGGGTCGCTCCACTCTTTCTCTCCCTCCCCCCTTCAATCAAGCTCGTGACGCAACGTAAGGGACCGGCAACAATGAGCGTGCGTAAAAAAAAAGCGTAAAAAGGCGACTAAATCATAAAATACATAACCTATTACCCTTTTACTTATTAATTTGATACAAAAATAATGCTTTAAATAAAATCTTTTAATTATTTATCTTGTTCTAGTGATCAGTTTAAAGGTAGTCAACACTAAAACGTTCTTTCTTTGTTGCTTGGTCGTGTGGTGTTACATAAGATCTGTGAAGAAGCAAGCCCATGGGAGTGCCTTCACTGGGCCTAGGTATTCAAAACAGCCATAATTAAATACACATGATATATAGATACATTCAGGCTAATGGAACTTTCGAGCCAAAGCTGTAAAATTTCCATAGGAAGAAGCAAATAGTTGGTCTGCCACCACAAACATTACATTGTACACCTATTTTATCTTTTTTTCATATCTCTCTTCCTCTTGTATATACAGCTTGATAGCATTTACAGCTGAGATTTTATATTTTTCTATTTTATTTTGACTTGGACATATACATTTAGATAATTATGCCTCATTTGACACCAGTCTTTTGCTATCTTTTTTGCTACTTATTTAGAATGTATCATATTGTGATGTGTGAGCTTCTGTGTCCAAATAATTTCCCTTGTGGATCAATAAAGTTTGACTAAGTCTAAGTCTATATCTGTTAGTTGAGTATGCAAACTGTACTTAATAAAATGTATACTCCACTGGAATTCTGGTGTGGAAAAATAAAATAATAATAATAAAATAAAAATAAACTTTCTCCTAACCATATTAGTCCTATAAAATGACACAAAAAGATGATTAAAATAACCTACATTTTAGAGCCTGGATATTGTGTGGTTGTAAATCTTTGTCTACATCTGCTCAGAAGATCCGTTTGCTTGTTCTGCTGCAGCTTTGAGCCGGTGCCTAAACACGTGTCTATTGTTCTTGCTCTCGCCGTGAGCTCTGGCCGTGGTGCTGAAAACGCCGTACGTCTCTTTGACGTGAAACCGAAGCGCACGCGGTCACGACTACTACAGCTGCACGCGCACGCGCGCGCACGAACTCCCGCCCACACAAAGTGGATGTGTGACAGAGGAGGAGACGCTCCAGGACCGAGCTGGCCTACTTTAAGGACAACACTTTGTTAAATAGCCCTCGTTTAGACCTTTGCGAGTGTGAGGAAAAGAAACACCAACTCACAGAGACATGAATATGGAAACAGGCTGAGACAGACTGGGTTTGGTCCTTTAGTTTAGTCCTGATAAATGAAGATTTGGTTTTGACTTGGTTTAATCCTCTTGAAGGTGATAGACTTGGTTTGGACCCAGTTCAGTCCTGGGTTTGGCATGGTTTGCTCCCAGTTTAATCTGGTATGGACCTGGTCTTGGTTTAGACCTGGTTACATCTGGCAATGGCCTGGTTCTGAATGATTTTAGTTCTGGTTTAGTCTCCATTTAGTCTCTGCTTAGAGACAATTATTTTAGAGGTTTAGACTCTGTTTAGAACCAGTTTAGAACAAAGACCTGGTTTAGAGTGGGTTAAGTGGGTTAGTCTTGGTTTTTACCTGATTTGGATCAAGTTCAGTCCTGTCATGGCTTAGAAATAGTTTCATCTCTGCTTAGACCTGATTTAGAACTGTTTTAGTCCTGTTTTAGTCTTGGTTCCGTGTTGGTTTAGACCTGGTTCAGTCTTGGTTTAGACCTGGCTTAGTCTTGGTTTAGACCTGGTTTAGTCTTGGTTTAGACCTGTTTGGTTAGACCTGGCTTAGTCTTGGTTTAGACCTGGCTTAGTCTTGGTTTAGACCTGGTTTAGTCTTGGTTTAGACCTGGTTTAGTCTTGGTTTAGACCTGGCTTAGTCTTGTTTAGACCTTAGTTTAGACTGGCTTGGTTTAGACTTGGTTTAGACCTTTAGTCTTGGTTAGACCTGGTAGTCTTGGTTTAGACCTGGTTTAGTCTTGGTTTAGACCTGGCTTAGTCTTGGTTTAGACCTGGCTTAGTCTTGGTTTAGACCTGGTTTAGTCTTGGTTTAGACCTGGTTTAGTCTTGGTTTAGACCTGGCTTAGTCTTGGTTTAGACCTGGCTTAGTCTTGGTTTAGACCTGGCTTAGTCTTGGTTTAGACCTGGCTTAGTCTTGGTTTAGACCTGGCTTAGTCTTGGTTTAGACCTGGTTTAGTCTTGGTTTAGACCTGGCTTAGTCTTGGTTTAGACCTGGCTTAGTCTTGGTTTAGACCTGGCTTAGTATTGGTTTAGACCTGGCTTAGTCTTGGTTTAGACCTGGCTTAGAGGAGTATTTAGACCTGGTTTAGACTGGAGTAAGTGGTTTGGTCTTGGGTTTTACCTGATTTGGATCAAGTTCAGTCTTGTCTTGACTTAGAACTAGTTTAGTCTCCACTTAGTCCTGATTTAGTCTTGGTTTAGATCTGTCTTAGAGCAGTGTTTAGACCTGGTTTAGAATGGATTAAGTGGTTTAGTCCTGGTTTAGTCTTAGTTCTGACCAGGATAAATTATCAGTTAGATTTAGGCAACCCCTCCTGATCCTTTTTGATTTTTACCAGTTTAGTCTTGATTTCATCCTTACATTGAACATACATGAAAAAAAACACTTTAATATGTGGACCTATAATACCACACGGACACTGGCGCCTTTTACTAACACCACCTAAAGTCCGATAAGTCCGACCGGGCCTGTATCTGGTCCCTGTACAGGAGAGTGTAGACGGGGCTGACAGCGGAGAGGCGGAGTGGGAGAGTCACAGGGTTCATGGTAATTCACTCCAAAAGGTCACCATCTGCCTGCCTGCGGTGAGCCTCTGCAGGCAGCACCCCCGCTACAAACACAGACATGCTCTACCGGACACACCATTTCATGCCTTATAAACCCCCCAAATATTTAAAGCAACTTGATTGATTGATTGATTGATTATGCTTCACTTTAATTAGCCCTTAAGAAGAATGACAAAAGACTTAATTAATAATGAACAAAAGGTCTATAAAGAATCATTCAATCTTACTTAGAGTTAGTAGTTTGGCTACTAAGCTCGAGTCATTCATGATACTAACTAATTGGAAGTTACAAGTAAATACTTTTTTGTACAATGTTTTATTAAGACTAATTACGTGTACTTAAAATGTTACACAAAAGCTGTATAACTTCATCACTGGCCCATATCACACAGTTTTCTATCTATGTTCACCGCAAAAAACAATATCTAGCTAAATGAAAATGATTTAGATTAAGAATATTTTACTTTATTTGAGTAGATTCAACTTGAAGTTAAATTTTCTACCAATGGAATAAGTTTTTCTTCATTCAAGCAACATTACATTTTCTTATTTTAAGTGCAAAAAAAAAAAAAAAAAGTTGTTTTT